GTCAGGAATGGTTTGATCATTCAATTTTTTAAAGTCAATAACTAGTCTATGTTTTGGGGTACCATCAGGATTTTGTCCTTTTTTGGATACAACCCATATTGGAGAATTATATGGACTATTACTAGCTTGAATAATGTTGGATTCCAACATTCTTGAAATCTCTTCATTCACAAATGAATTGACAGAGAATGGGTAAGGGTACTGCTTGCTCCAGATAGGAGAATCAGATTCAGTTCTGATTTCAGCCCTTATATCGGTTCTGAATGGTAATTCCATATTTGTTTTAGAATGAAGTTTATTTATTTTATTTTTTAAGGTGGCTTCAAGGCTAACCTTTTTTCGTATTTCCCCTAAATAGCTCTCATTTTCATTGTACGTGATATTATCTTTTATCCGTACATTTAAAGATCCTAATGTAGAAGTTTCCATTAAGGCATCTTGAGAATATAATTCAGAAATATCGTTTTCTGAACTCTCTTTAATATTATTTATTAATGGTGGGTGAACATGTTCCCCATTTATATTTTTATTTAAATTTTCATTTTTGCTGGTATAACCGTCGGCTGGCTTTTCAGGATTTATTTTTCCCGAAATATTATTTAATTTATTTGATTTTTTATTTTTACCGGTATTATCTTCGGCTGGCTTTTCAAAATTATTCTTTCCCGAAATATTATTTAATTTATTTGATTTTTTATTTTTGCCGGTATTATCTTCGGGTGGCTTTCCAGGATTATTCTTTCCCGCTGTGGCACAAGCTGTGCCACCTGTATCTATTAAAATTTGGAGGTTTCTGTCTATTCCTTTGTCCCTCCTGTAAATGAAAGGGAGTCTGATGTTGGACCTAAAAAATGGTTCTCATTAATATTATTGACTCTCTTCTCCTTTATATTGTGACGACTAAATTTTTTTGAATAAATTTTAGTCTTGCCACAATACGCACTTCACACGTATTTAAAAATGATGACGTCAAAGTTACCTATAACGAAATAAAATTTGATGTTGTGTAAGCTAACATATCAAAAGAATGCTATACATACCTTGAAATACCCTTGTGAATATTTATTTTAATTAATATAATTCGAACAATATTAATTAAAATAAATTTAAATTACTTTTCGCGAACCGCATGAAACACATTGTATTAAAAGGCAAAAAAACAAAGCATGATCAAAACAAAAATAGAAAAAATGAGAAATGTCATTTTTTAATTTGTTTTGTGCATTTCGGTTGATCGTAAAAATGTTGCAGCGGATAATAAAAGGGAAAAAAGCTGTGAGTGCAGTTTAAAGCTTTCAGAAGCCTGAAAAGAAACCAACAGAATACCTAATGAGGGGAAATGTTGAGGGCATTGACCGAACAACGGCTAGCAAAAAAGTCCGCTCGACGCAGTTAGAAAAAAAAGGAGAATAAAAGGCGCAAGCGGAGGTGTTTCTGTCTCTTGGCTCGTGGTTATGTTGAACGCAACGCATCGTACCGGTGGTGTTCATTACTTAGTTTTTTTTTTAAAATAAATAAAAAAAAAAAAGTTCTTTGCATTTTTTATATAACAATTAAAACTACTTTAATATTAATTTAACCAGTGGAAATAAAATTCTTAAAATTGTGTAATTTTCTTTTTATAATATATAAAGAAACAAAAAAAATTGAAATAGTTTTGTCGACACGGCGCGAAACGGGATAATAGTGTTAATAGCCACAGTATAAAAGAAATAATTGACGGCTTTAACAGTGGTCAATTAAAAGATTTTGTACTCGTGCTCGTTCGAACGTATAAACGTGTTGACACCACAAGCAAAAGACGTGGCGCGGCTTGGGTGTCTCTTTTTCTCCGATACGTGGCAAAGCTTGAATTGATTGGTGTTTCCTGATAATCATCGCTGGACGTTGTAAGCAGCCCTGATGTACCAGAGAGGGTAAGACTTATATATGTATAAAATACAGTGCAGATTTTCGCGTAAGTAACTTCAATGTATAAGCGCGAATTTATAAGTTATTTTATTTAAATCGGACGAATTGCTTAAAAATTAACAAATTTCAAATTGTATAATTGAATACCTACAAATTTTATTCATTTAAATGGAAATGAGAAAAGTAACAACAAGGCAATCACAATCGTAACGGCTTCAAGTTAAGCGCATAGGAGCATAAACTTTCTAAACACAACAAGCTCATGAATTATTAGTTCTTATGAAATAGAATCTATGAAAAAAAAATGTATCTTTGTAAAAATTGAAATTAAACAACTGAAAACAAGATATTTGTGAAAAAAATGTATTCTGTTATATGCAAACATAATCGTAATTAATTATAAAGTGTAACATTAAAAATTTAATTACTTAATCCACATTTAAGGAATGTAAAAATATTACATAAAATTCTAAGTGAAATACCAAAGTAATCTTCACACGACTACGCTTAATATAAATTCTTCTTCCCTTATATTTTTATTTAAAAACATTTTATGAGTTTTTTTATAAATTTTGTTGTATTTAAGTGAACACAAAAATGCATTTATAAAACGTTAAACTTAAAATATGATTAATTAATATTATTTTTTTTAAAAAATTGAAATCAGTTAAATAGTATTTGCTTATTATTATCTACGAGTAATTGTAAAGATATTATTTGATAAATTGTTTTTTTTTATTTAAAATACATTTATGGTTATACATATATTACAAATTGTTCAATAAAATTGAAATCAGTTAAATATTATTTACTTATTATTATCTACGAGTAATTGTAAAGATATTATTTGATAAATTGTTTTTTTATTTTAAAATACATTTATTGTTATACATATATTACAAATTGTTCAATAAAGAAAAAAACTTGAATTCTAAAATAATTACTTTGTTGTACGGCATCTTACTTCAACGGTAGAAACGACAGTAGTTGAACGCTGGGTCCCCGCGAATAGAAATTTTCTTGTAAGACCTTGGACTAGGCTGAGAACTACCCCGGCTAGGAAAAATTAGGTCCATTACAATATGGTTTACTCGCTGGGCCTTTGCCTGCCGTTGATTGCTGTTTTCGCTACTTTCACGACGATGTTTTAAATTATTGAAGGGTCGTTGCATCCTTCCATGATTTTGTGGTGATCCATTTGGATTCCAAAAATTGTTGTTGTTTCCTCGAAACTGTGGTATATGTCTGTTTTGAGGATGTGACCTTTGTTGTATGGATGTATCAACATCCATTGGTTCAGGCTTAGGAAAATTATTTTGCCTAGGTTTATTTACATTTGCGCGATTAAAGCGCAAGTTATTGGAGAAATTGTTCTGGTTAAAAGTTTTCCTCTGATCAGAGAATTGGAATGCGAATTTTGCACGCAAATTATTCGAGCTCTGCTTCCAGCTCCTGAGCTTTAGCCAGTGCATTGGGTAAATCAGTTCGTGACAGGGAAAATAATATGTCATTTAATGGAGCGTGTAGCCCAGTAATGCACACTCTTAAGGCATTCTGGCGATTTTTGTTATTTAATCCTCGTGTAATAGACGAGTCATTGCCGTGAGTCATTATTGTTATGTTGATTAAGAGGGTTAATTTTTTATTAACCAGATTATAACGGTCAAGGACTGTGGATGAGCCTTGTCTAAGGATACTCATCTCTTGTTCAATGACATGAATTGGACGCTTGTCAGCATAAGCAAAATCGAGTCTGCTTATAATGGCGTCATAATTAAGGACAGTTCCATGACTTGTTAGTAAATCGTTTCCTTGATGAACTATTTTATTCCTTAATATAGTTAGGGCAGCAAAATATTTTCGACTACCTCTAATGTAAAGGCTCATACAATTATGAGCTACTTCCCTCCAACTAATATAAGAATTTTGATTTCCAGTGAATTCTGGAATAGATTTTATTATGTCTAGACTTTCGTCACACGCTATTGTCTCGTCTATTGTTTGTGGTTCGTATTCCACTACGTTATTTGTACCTGTCAGTGCTTGAATTGACAGAGATCAATCTGCTGATTGTCTCTTGGGTTATTGTAGTTGAAGGCGTAGTGTTTGTGGCCATTTTAGAAAAGTTTTTCACTAAGTTATCCAGGATTTTTTACTATTAATGTATAAAAATGATATCAAATATCCAATGCTAACGAAAAAAAAATTTTACAGACCTTTCTTGTCTGAGAGAAAATTATTACAAGTTTCAATTATTACAACCCACAAATTTGTTTAAATATGTATGATATATATTTTTTAGTAAATATAAATATTCTTTCTTTAATGCACCCAGCGTAAACGCGGTTATAGTGCTCGAAAGAATTGGTTTTAAATTAAATTTATTTATTTTAGTTAAAATTTTCTTTAGGCTACTCTGGTCTTATTATTAGGATGCATTTTAGATACCCCTGAAGATGTTGGAAAATAACCAACGAAACGTCGGGTGAAAAATGAAATAAATTGAATTGTATTTGCATCCTAATAATAAGACCAGAGTAGCCTAAAGAAAATTTTAACTAAAACAATAAAACGTACTGGTCAAAAATTCCATTATTAATTAAATTTATTTAATTGTACATTTATTATTTATATTAAATATTTTTAATATTTTTTTTATATTTTTAATATATTAATAAAAATATATTTATTCATTTACATTAATTTTTATTCAATTTTATTTAATTGAATTATTGAAAAACTAAAATCAATTAATAGGCCTTTTCGGTGGCTCGCAAGTACGGCAAAAAATGCATGTTGGCCTATGTTGGCCACGCGAGTCATTGGCATCACTGTTGCAATCTGTCAAATGTTTTGTTTTGACAAACGGCAAATCTTGTATATGTGCATATAAATCAGTTATATTTTTAAAAAAATATTATAAAATTAAAATGAACACGGAATTAAAAGGAATGGTAAGAATATTGGAAATTTAAAAATAAAACACTAAGATAAGTAAATTTTTGTAGGTACTGTCGATGTTGGGAGAAGAAAGCACCGTTTTGCAGCGGCCGAGGAATGCAAGTTGCTTCACGGATTTTTTAAATGTTATGAATGCCGCAACAGCCTCCTCTGAAGATTCAAGCCAGAGTGAAGAAGAGCAGGAAAAGTGTAAAAATTTTGAAGAAAGTATAGAATCAATGAACCCAATGGATTTTAAAAATCACTTCAGATTACGACGAAGTACAGCGGAAGACCTTATCTGTAAATATACATTGAGTTGTTTGTGATTAAATTACAAATTTAATTTATTTCTAGTGCGCTTCTCAGAATCGGAGAATTTGTCGGATACAGATTGTGGTGGTATTAAACATGTAAGCTGCAGAAAGTCTGTCTATATATATCTTTGGTACGTTGGTAATACAGTAACTTATAGACAGTTAGGAAATCTCTTTGGAGTGTCAGTTTCTACAGCATGGTCAACAGTAAAAACTGTTGCTACGTTTTTGATTTCCATAGGCCGAGATTATGTATCATGGCCACGAGGAGTCGCTGCATTAGATATAATAAATACATTTGAACGTAAACACAAAATATCAGGCATTATCGGAGCAATCGATTGTACACACATTCCCATTAAAAAACCACAAAACCATGGAGAAGATTACTTTAATCGCAAGCAACGTTATAGTATCGTTCTCCAAGCTGTTGTGGATGCCAATAAAAAATTTATTGAAGTTACTTGCGGAGAACCTGGATCTTTGCATGATTACAGAGTTTTGAGAAGGTCAAAGCTATATAGAATGGCACAATCAAGATACGAAGAAATATTTCCAAACTCGACATTTATTATTGGAGATTCTGCTTATCCTTCTACAAACTGGATTGTGTCACCTTACAAAAATTATGGGAATTTAACCGATAGTCAAAAAAAATTTAATGAAAAACACTCATCTGCTCGTATTGTAGATGAGAACGCTTTTGGTTTACTAAAAACTCGTTTCCGAAGATTATTAAAATTTACGGAGCAGACAAATTTGGCTGCAATAACAAATATAGTTGTAAGCGTTTGTATTTTACATAATATTTGTATTATAAAGGATGATTTGTTTGAGAATGCTGAATCAAATATTCAAAACAATGACGAACAGCAAGCTGATGAAGAGCATGAATTAGATCATGGTAATAATAGAAGGGAAAGACTTTTTAATTATTTGTTAAGAAAAGGTGTTATATAAGTTTATTAATTAATATATTTATTGTAATTTTTTAAATAGAAAATTTTGTTACATTTATAGAAACTAACTTAACTTAGTTCAATAAGTAATAATATTTTAATGTGTAAATATTTTGTAATTTATTTATTAATAGCATAAATTAATGTGTAAGATTAGTTTTAAGATTAAAATATTATAATGTTTTTGAAAGAAAATAAAAATACTATACTATTACAACTAGAAACTTATTTGAACTTAAAATATTTTACATAAAAGTAAAATAAATAGTACAAATTTAAATATGAATTAAAGAAATTCTTAACTTAAAAATATATATTACATAAAATGAATATAACATATTTTTAATTAAAATAAAAATATTATATCAAATTATTTCACATCATTGATAAAGTATTTTAACTTACACATATTTTTTTATAAAATTTATATAAATATATTTACATATTTTGCGTAAGTTTTTCAAGTAACTTGAATTTATTTTCTTCCAATTTCAATTTTCTTTCCTCTAATTTCAATTCATTATCCCATTTCTTAATTATTTTTTGCTTCAGTTCATACATAGTTTCTTTAAAAAATTTTAATTTCTCTTCCTCTATTCTTTTCTTAACAAATAATTTGTTATCATAATATTCTTGACGCACAGATTTTCTTTTGCGGTTAAATTTTGAAGGTTGTGGCAATTCCAGCATTTGCAATTCCTGCGTTGATGATTGTTGCGTCGGCGATTCCTGCGTTGGAGATTCCTGCGTTGGCGATTCTTCCGTTGGTGATTCTTGCGTTGGCGATAGCTCAGCGTGCGTTTGCACAATGTTTATTTCCAACTCTTCCAGCACCTCTATGTCTTCAACATAGCTGTCAAACCCTAACGTCGCAGTGTGATTATTTGAAATAATTGGTTTATCACCAAATATTTCGTTCATCATCTCCAAGTAGGGTGGTAAGCATGGCGATGCACCAGTCCGTCTGTTGTTATCTTTGGCTGCTTTAAATGCACTTAGAAGTGTGCGCATTTTTCTTTCTAAGCAGACTGGAGTAAAGTCATCCTAAAATAAATATTTTTTTTTAATATAATTTAATTTATTTTTTTATTCAAATGATTGCAGAAGTTATGCGATACTTACTGCAATTCCATGTGCTATCATGTCCTCAAGTACATGTTGATATCCAAGTCTTTTTTTTCTGGTTTCCATAAACTCTTCCTTTCGTGCCAAGTAGCACTCTAGAAAACACTTCATTTCCTTTGTGGTCCACAGTTTACGTGTATTTCTATAAAAAAAATTTTTAGAAAAACTTTAAAAATTATGTTTGCTTTATTAATTTTATGTATGTAAACTACAAATTAAATGAAATAAAATAAATGTTACTTGGTAATAACTAACATAATAAAAAATTCAATGTGCTTAATACTTACGATTTCTCCATTCTTATTATTTCTTATTTACTTTTCAATATTTTTCAAATTTTTGAATTCTGTTTGAATTTTTATTTCCTCAATTTTTGACATTTGATTGCACTATTCGTTGGAATTTTCAATGAATGTTCACAATAGGTCGCTTATTTCGTTGGTAACATTTTTTTTTTTACTGGCCGATGTGGTTGGCCAGCATAACTATGCTGGCCGATGCAGAGAAAATAGTGTTGTTGTTTTACGTACATTGCGGCCAGTATAGGCCTGCATAGGCCAACAACTTGCTGTTTTTTGCCGTACTTG